CATGTCTCTGTTCGTAGTTTTTTCTCCAGGTATGTTTCTAAGTTTCCTAATTTTTATTTTTGCCCCACTCCTTTATTAGCCCACTCCTTTTCAAATCTTTGATGCCCTTGTTTTGCTCTGTTGCTTGTTTTTTGTTTTTTACTTTATAGTTTCTTATATCATTTCTTGTTGCCTTTGTGATCGTGTTATTACTTCTATTTAGTGCTTTTTTACTTATACCGTTATCTCCTTTCATCTGTCGCCTTAGGGCGTCCAGCCCTATAAGGGCTAAGAGCTAAACGCCTACAAGGGTTTCCAGGTTGAGTTTTTCATCCTTTTTGTTTGATAGACAATATTTAGTTTGAGACTGTTACATTGTGTTGACTATTAGTTTGTTCAATATATTACTGTCTGTTGTTGTTGCTAAATATTGGTTGTTTTTGATCATTTCTTTGTTTCTTTCTTATTTATTACTTTGAGTCTATCTCTTTCGCTCGATATCGTTATTTTCGCTCTTATTAATCTTTGCCATTGATTATAAACCACTACCTAGATAGCTCACCTCGTGGTAACCGAAAGACGTATCAAAAACTAGATGGCGTTACTCGAAAACCGTATCGAGATTATCATTCTCTCTCTGACTTCCGAGGAGATACGAGTAGTGTCAGGGCCGAACTTACCCTATAAGTGTATTAGCTGTGTCAAATGTTGTGACAGGTTATAGCGAAATTTTATAAAAAAAGGACCCACATTTGAGATAAAATAGTAGTGGTTTTTAATCAATGCCTTTGCTCACTGCTTGTACTAAACTGGTTTACGCCTATAAATAATTCTTTTTTGTTTGTTAAGAAATAGTCGATTTATTTCCGTGTGCTTTAATTTCACATGTCCATCTTCTGTTTTTTTAAGGAGTTGTTCATTTATTAGAGATTGTTTTCCAAAAGAAAAACATTTTCATTTCTAATTTACTTAAATTATTTGCAACTCAAAGAAAGTACATCCTCCTTATGTTTTCTTTATATTTGTCTTCTTTATACCAACTTTTTTACTGTGGTATTCTCGTTGGCATTTATAGTTAATTGTATTATTATTAAATCTAAAGTACACTCTCATTATAAAGATGTCTTGGAGGTGTGATAATCAAGGTCGAGCACAGACATTTGTAAGTATAATTTAAATAATGAAAGTAAGTATTCCGTCGTTAATCTTATTTATTGCAGTAGATTGACATAATTTCATATGCGGTTAGCTGTGGCTATAAACTGCGTAAAAAGTCTTGAAGAATAAACCTACCGTAATGACTGAAATATAGTAAAGTGTAATAAACGAGTTAATAAAAACAAAATCGGCTAATGACTTTTTCCAATTAATACAACAATAATATTTTTTATAGACCACAATACTATTTTACTATTTTAATAGATCACGTATGATTGTTAATTATTCACTTTCTATAAAACGAAAAGGATATCCAGCAAAAACAAAATCTCTATAGTACATTGACAGATTATCCTTTAATTTATAATGTATCTTTAAAGATAGATATTATCAATAAAAAAATTGTATTATCGTATTGTCTTCTTATTATTATTATGCCAGTCTTTGGTAATGTATCTTTTTAATATACTCTTCCTTTATAACTCGTTGCGAATCGCCATCTATAGGGTCTATTACAAACTTTCTGCAGATCACGTAAATCTAGCATGTTGCAATTTTTAGGTTAGTGAACTAACTGATCACATGTAAAATGTTTATTGAAAAGTTTTTAAGAGATTTTATTCTGATACCTGTATATATTGGTAAAGATAAGTCTACTGAGAGATGATAATAAGTTGTTTGTTCCATATATTTTATAATTTTTGTATGAAGTCTCATTTAAAACTATGTATATTTAGAGACACATTGCCGGGTTCTTAGTTATAAACAAACGGATTTTAGAGGTATCTTAAAAGATACATTGCCTAACAATATGTTATAAATAAATGGATAAATTTACTTGTTATTTTTTGTTTTCAGAAAGCAAGTCGCGAATTAGGAGTTTATTCCAAACGAACAATGAATATCATCGCAATGTTATCACCAATAGACTCTGACGATCCCGATATTTTAGATACAGATGATGTTTTGGAAAAAATGATGACCAAAATAATATGCACATTGAAATCATATTTGATAATTATATGTATCTAGAGTTAATTCAGTGTGAAAATGATGTTGCCACAGAATCTGCTCGAAGATCAGAAAGAACTTTAATTAATTATTTGACTCCATTAGAACCATTTATGCCGGATCTGTTAGCACCTGTACTTAAGAAGAAGAACATTAAATGGCAGAAAATTGTTCAATCACAAATTAACCCCTTAATTTGTAATCTCACATTATTCTTAACTTCTTAATCTTTTATAGTTTCACCGTGTATAAGTTTGCATTATATATATTGCAAAACCATATCGTATAATTTAATAATTAGTTTATTTACCTACAACTAAATAAATTGCCGAATAATAATATTTTCTAATTGAACTTCCTAAGTGTCGCAATTAAGGCGTAGATTAAATTGTATTATAAGCAAAAGCTAGGTGGTGTGATATGAACGAAGCAATGACCTAAGGTGCTTATGTATCTATTATGTGTGAGATTATAAATTGGGGATTTGAGTTCAAATGAACACAGTCAATATTGAGTAGTTACCGAACGAACACCATATTGTGTAATTACGAGTTGCTGTCAATTAATCATCACTTTTACTCCGCATCTTCAACCTTTATTATACTTATCAGCATCGATCGACGAGAAGCGGACAAAGGGGCATTACGAACCGAACCGAACTTCAATACTAAGTTCGATATTTTTCCAAAATGGATTTCAATTTTAACTTTCCAGAGTTTTTTTATCCATTTGAAATTTCGGAACATATTTGCAATATTGTAACTGATATTTCATAACCATTGACTAATTTCCAAATGTTTTTCAATGATGATCTGTTTTCAATAGTTGCAGAAAACACCTTTATACAACCCAGAGGGCGAATAAATCCGTAGCCACTGACATTAAGGAAATAAAATTTTTCGTTGGAATTGAACTATTGATGGAGATAGACACCATGCCTTCCTATTGCGATTTTTGGTCTCAATCATTCCGTTATAATCAAGTAGCTGATTTGATGCACCTAAAGCGTTCTTAGAGTCTAAGAAGAAACATTCATTTCGCAAACAATGAAGATAATAGTGGCACAGACAGATACTTTAAACTTCGTCCATTGTTGTACGCCAAAACTCATTAGCGATTACTGCTTAGCGATTCCAGAAGAACAGCATTTTTTGATAGATCATGATTGCATATAAGGAAACACGAGGAGGAACTAGACCACAATATATAAAAAACAAGCCGAAAAAATTGGGGTTTAAATTATTTGTTAGATATGAAGTATGCGGTATCGTATACGATTTTTTTCCTTATGCTGGTAAAAATACCTTTTTATCACACTTTTACAAATTACGAGGAACAATATTTCGGAATAGTGCAGAAAGTGGTAGTAGCCTTATGTAAAAGTATTCATAAGAAACCATGTATGATTGTATATTTTAATACCTAATTGGTTTACTTCACTTGAATCATTTACATAATATAAAAGTATTAGCGACAACGAAATAAAAATTAGTATTACCAAATGGGCAGATAATAAATTTGTCAGTTTAGTTTAATCATTTTCTGATTTCTTTAGATAGAAATGGCCTAAAGTCACATCGATGGTACTCAAAGTTGCTATCCCAAATGATGCTAGATATAAGTATAAATAATAGACTGCTGCTTTATAGAAGTCACTGCAAAAAACTAAACAGAAAAAAATCGATCCATTAAAAACGTCCCGCAACGAAATTATTATTCAAAGCCTACTAAAATCAAATATTGCAAATATAGGTCGCGCAGCTGCTTGGTCATTTCCTAACAAACAAATCCGAAGTCTGGTAGTTCCTAGGCCGACCGACGATACTAGGCTAGATCACATCGATAATTTTCCCTTAACAACAACCAAAGGTCGGTGTCGTTTGTGTCCTAAAGAACAAACTACCTTTATGTGTCAGAAATGTAATACACGACTATGTATTGTCTCTGAAAGGAACTGTTTTATGAGTTACCATAAAACTAAATTGTAATTATTTTCTAATAAATCGTTTATTAGTAATCTTTTAAACATTCAAAATTAACTAAACGTTATACCTTGATTTGTTGTAAATGTATCATATAGGATACAATCTGTAAAAAAAGTATAAAATGGAAAACAAAAAAAAATTAGAAATTATTTCAAGATTATTGTTTTATGCTATATATTTCAACAATTTAAATTTTTCAGTAAGTATTTATACCCTTGCCATTTAAAGGGTTAAATGGTACGACCCATTAAGAGAGAAAAACGCCTTTTCCCCCAGAATTAAATTTTTTTCATCATAGATATAGAGATAGAGATATAGTTTTGATCAAACACACAAAATAAAAAATTGGACGCGTTTTTTAGAAAAAAATTGAATTTTTTCAATCTATGGACCTATAAAAAATAAATAAATTTTGTAAAAGCCTCAACTTTGCGTGTAAATTTTTTTAAATTTTTAAAATAATTGCATCTCACCTAAAAAAAAAAACAAAAAAAATTAACATTTTCGTTGGTGAGGGGGCGGTAGGTGGGTGGCGGGCTAAAATTACGCTTACCTTAATTTTATTACATATAACGTAAGTAAATAAAAAAATTTAATTCTGCGAATTAAAGCATTTTGCTTATTTTAACGGGGGGTATCCTTTACTACTAGTGTATTCAACACAAAATAAAATAAATATCTGTAGTATTGATTTTAATAAGTTTATCAAGACATTAACATTTCAACATTAATCAAAAAATAAGATAAATTTGTTTGCGGTGGTAATGAATAATTGTCCTAGTGACAGTTCTTAAACTACTTCATAGCAGTTTCAGTTCGCCCACTGGCTAGTGCGCTTGCCAATCGCGAACTGCAGAAACAATGTAATTAGCATTTGTCGTCACTACTATCTTGTTCTTTTAATACTGTCTCAGTTTCTTCACTTTCATCTGGAATAGCGTCTAATCCCTGGATTTTATAAGGATTATTGGTAAGCCTTCTGTCTCTTAAGTACTGTAGTCTTTCCTACAATATTAAAAACAATTTCATTTGTAATGTCTAGCGGTTCACTAAACGAAAAGGGACGTATTTTTAGTAATTTTTTTTAATTATTGGAGAAAAATCGACCCTAAAAAAGTAAATGTACCCTGTCCCTCTCTAATTACTATAATATAACTAGCACATGGGAGGGGTTGATAAGGCAAACTCTTTACTTGGATTGTATACTTTACTTGGATTGTATAGAAGTCCAAGTAGAGCCACGAGATGGTATTTTCCCATTCCTACTTGGATAAAACCTTTAATTGCGACTTATTCCCATTTAAATAGTAATTAGTTTTAAATGCCACAAGAAAATAGCTTCAGAACTATAAATCAAATTTCATATTTTTTTATATATTTTGAAACACTTTGCCAGATACAGGGTTATTAGTTTATCTCTATTTACTTAATTATGTACGAATTTTAAAAAAGTATTAGGGCAGTAAACAAACAATAAATGTAAGATGGTATAGCAATATTATTAATAAACATACCATGCTGTAGTATAGCTGTAAAAATTAATATATAACCCACCTAAAAACAAGTTTAAAAAAAATGAAAAAGATTAACTACTAGTTGAAGTCCCACCTCCATACTTTCCATATTTCTTCTAAACATATTTCCTACGAGTATATAATTGACGTAATAAGAAGAGATGTGTGGAAATGCCAATGCACCAACTATAATACCTAACGATGGCAAAATTTCAAACCACATATTGCAATATTAAAATTGTAATTATATTTTAATAACTTCAAACATGACAAGCGTATGTCATATACTATATTATTTATCTATGTCAAATGAGTGACGTTTACATTTTAATCGCAAATAGACTCGATTAATGTCACTTCATAAAACAATTATTATTATTAGATCTCATTAAACGATGCTATCACTGCGAGCGGTCCAAATATTAACAAAAAAGAAGATATATATCGGGTGGTGTATCGATCGGGCCATAGGAAACTTAAGGTCGATTCAGACACATCAGTCACGTCACAGTCACGGTACCGAAACGGTCATGTTTGGTCACAGAACTATCAACTATCTGACAGCTGGCAAACTGTTCGTCAACTGATGAGTGTGAATGCCGGCGCCATATTTGTATTAAAGAATATTTTGTATGACGGATTGTTGGATTCGGCGCAATCACTGTGACGAGATGGTGACGAGACGTGACTGATGTGTCTGAATCGACCTTTAGTAGGAGATATTCTGAACTGTTATATTCCTGCTTCACTAATTAGTTTACATTAAATCATAAGGTACTATTTAAAGAGGAGTAAAATTTGTATTGAAAACAAATGTTAACATTTTTCCACTCATTAAAGACATTCTAAAATTATGCAAACATACAATACATGTGTTAGGCAATACGTAGTACAGAATTTGTATAACGGGTTGCATTCGGTCACAATGAAATGTTAACCATACTTAAATTTTTAATTTTTGAGGTTAATATAGACCAATCAAGTTAATAAAAAATATGATTTTTTTCGTCACATTTGTATAGACGGGTTTGACCGTTAAAATGTCTTTTTCTTCTTTCTTCTTAGATGTAGGCTTTACAGCATGTTTTTCCTTCAATATTAGTCTCCTAAATTGTTTAAATTATCGCACCATCTTTTTCTTGGTCTACCAATACTTCTTCGTCCTTTTGGTGACTTATCTCGTGCTATTCGTGCTATCATATCCTCTACCGTTCTACTAATGTTTTCGTTTCACTCCTGGTTCCGTTTTGACATACATCCATTTATGTCTTCTATATTGCATGTTCTTTTTATGTTTTTGCTTCTCTCCCTATCCAACAGACTTTTTTCTGATATTCGTGGAAGTATTTTCATCTCTGTTGTTTCTAGTAGTCGTCTCGTTGTAGATGTATCAGGTCTCATCTCTGTCGTGTATGTTAATATAGCTATAATTGCTGCTTTATAGATTTTTGTTTTTTATCTTGTCTTAGTTGTTTTTTCTTCTAGAGAAGATCCGCCGAATCTTAAGAGATCCCGCCGCTTTACTTGCTTTTAAGCTTTGTTGTAGTACTTCTTCTTCAACATCTCCGTGACTAGTTATATCTATATCCAGATATTAAAAACTTGCTTCTTGCTTTATTATTTTCCCATCAATTTCGATTTTACATCGTAGTGGGTATTTGGATTTTGTCATACATTTGGTTTTTTTGCTGATATTATTATATTGTATTTCTTAGCTGTTGAATTGAAGATGTGTGTTAATCTTTGGAGCTCGTCTTCTGTCTCAGCGATTAATGCGGCGTCGTCTGCATAACATAATATTTGGATTTCTTTTTTCCGCACTTTACGTACTGCTTGTATTATTTCCTCCATTATTATATTAAAGAGAAGTGGGCTTAACGAGTCACTCTGATTGACTCCGCTTTGTATTGGTATATATTGAGTTAGTTTCTTTTATACAGTAGGTGTGAGACGTCTTCGATTTGGATGCAATCGAAAGCCTTTGTCAGGTCTACAAAACATAAATATACTGGTTTATTATACTCGACGGCTTTTTCTGTGATTTATCTTAGTACAAACACGGCGTCTATGCAGGATCTTCCGGATCTGAATCCTTGTTGTCCATCTGATATAGTTGTTAGTTTATTGATTTTGTTGGATACTACTTTTGTGGTAAGCTTAAGTGCGGTATTCAGTAGATTTATACCTGTACAATTGTTGGGGTCGTCTTTATCTTCTTTCTTGAACATTGGTATCATTATGCTGTTTTACCACGCGCCTGGTGTCTTGCAGTGCAATATTAGTTTTTGTCATCTTCAATGTTATAATTTCTCCTCCGTGTTTTAGAAGCTCGTTGGTTATTCCGCCTGGTCCTGGCGACTTTCTATTTTTGAGTGAATTTATGGCTATCTTTACTTCCTGAAATTGATTTCTATTTCGTGTCTTAATTCGGGTACGTTATTGTGTTGATTAAAATTTTCCTTTTATTTAAACAGTTTCGTCAATTATCTTGTCCATTCGTTTGCTGGTATGTTATTGTATTCCTTCAATTCTGCCATTTCTTTCCATTCGTTTTTTTCTATAACTCCATATTTTTTTATATACCGTAGAAGTCACTTTCCATCCTTTTTGTAAACTGTTCCCAGTGTTTATTTTTTATTCTTCTTACCAACTGTTTTGCTCCATTTTCTTTGATCTGCTTTGATCTAGTCTAGGGAGAGACTGGATTTGGTCTACCTCTTATTCTTCAGTGGGCAGGGTCCATTTTAGTTATCTTCATATCTTTATGTTTTTTGGCCATCCATTTTAAGTCATTCTCTGCAGATATGCATTCCTTTTTTATAAAGATTGCAAAAAGGAATTAACTTACAAGAAAATGTTAAACGATTTCTTTTTTAAACTTTAAACAAACATTTTCAAATGTATCCTCGCACGACTACTTAAATTATAAGGACGACTACAAGGCCATAAATCGTTAATAAAAATTGTTTTTAATTTAATCAAAACATAGGTGATATATATTGAAAAATAATACCCTTTGTCTGATCAATATTAAAAAATCGCTATCGATTTCCTAATCTAATAAACTAAATATTGTGTAAGAATCAATAAAATCGCATTGGTTTCGTGATGAATAGAAAATAATTTTCTCGATTATTGACACGATCACATGTTATGTAAAAACTAGACCTCCATTGCCCCGTTCATGGTCAATAAAGCAATGGAAAGTGATCGGATATATTATTATCATTATTTTAGCTGTAGTTATTACAATTGTGCACATTTTCTAGATAAGTAATTGTTTACCAATAGCAAATAGTTATTATTGCGAGAAAATCTCACAGCTGTAAATAGAAGGCGTTTAAAATTGCTAGGTGATTAATATTCATTGAAATCAGAAGCACTAAAGAATTCCTTTTGTTTTTTTCGTTTCTTTTTTTTAACAGCAGTATCAACAATTTTAATGCTTTTGATTTTATTCTTCCCTTCTTCTTTGAATACTGTGCCCAAAATTTATCCGTGGGTGTGACGATCTGCCGATATTGTTCTCGATCTTGCGCGGCATGTAATAATTCATCTGCTGATAAGCCAGTCTATTGACGAAGGTTTCGGAGCCATGAGTATTTCCTCCTACCAATTCCTCTAACCACAAGTAACTTTGTCTTTGTTGTATTTATGCCTAGTCCATTATTAGAACATTCTCTAGTGACTCAATCTATAAGGAATTAAAGATCTTCGTTACTTTTACTCACCAGTAAAAGAAGTAATTTGGCAAAAGAAATTCCAATACATTCAAAGAGCCATATACTCAAAGAACACATACTCCAATACATTAATTTCCACAATACCTCAACATCAAGTTATCAGTAGATTAAAGCAACGTTGGTCAAGACCATTAACTAGGGACTCTCTCACTGAAGGGGACCACGTCACGCCAGAATCAAGGGACAGGACCTAAAAAAATTACATTAACATATAGAATTCTTTTTTTCTTTATTTTTTTAAGATCAAAGGGGTCTTTCTGACCTCAAGAAACACTTCATCACGAGACAGTGAACGAAACTCACCCAGTATTATCAGTTCTCGTCATTTCAAGCCTCGACGTCCCGGGCGTCGTGACGTAGTACCAATACTAATCCACTGGCTACGAATACATCAATATCTCAAAAGGTAAGCCTATTCTTTGTACAGATAACAGTAATGAGTTAAGCTAGCTAAGTAATTTTTTAAAACTCATATTTTTTAAATTTATTTTTAGTTGTTTTTTATATAGTTTAACATATCTTGCTAAGAAAATTTATGAACATACAATTAACAGTTGGCAAATAAACAAATATATCATTTCTTTTTGACTGTGAAAGTACTGTCATATACTATTTTTTGTAGTCTGATTAGTAAAATAGTTTAGTAGTTTGTGTAAATTTACTTCCTTGAAGCAATACAACTTTCCGTGCGTTCGGCTTTTACAATGACGATAAACAAATCGCAAAGTCAATCGTTGGAAGTTTGCAGAATCAACTTGTAGTTGCCCTGTTTCGCGCATGGACAATTGTACGTATAGTATTTATTGGAAAAAAATTAGTTGATTTAACTTTTTCATACATAATATTCTTAAGAATTTTTTTAGTTTTCTATTAATTTTAAAAGTTATTGAACTTTGACACAATATTTATTTTTAAAGCGCTACGAAGTTCACCGTGTCAGCTAGTATATAAGTTTGACCAATTAATTTTCTATAATTAATTTATTAAATGAATTATTATTTTTGAAGTTTATTCCAGTATTGATTGTATTTTATATGTGTTTATTATATTCGTTAGAAATAGCGTTTCATTCAGAAAATAATCAAGAATTGTTTATTGTATTATCTTGATAAATACAATTTAGAAGTAATAAAGAAGCATATCTTGTCGATCTCCTACAGTAGATAAAAATCATATTTACATAAATTTCCTTGAAGACTTTGCCTGTTGTATGCTACAATAAATGCAAATAGTCCGCGTGCACGTGGATAGCCATAAAATTAATTATATTCTTGTTTTATGTTAAAAAATCAAACGAAAGTGAGTGCCAAATCCTAACAACTGTTACCTAAGAGAACTGATTTATTATTTATTGCCAACAGTAAATACAATCATTAATGTGAATAAAACTTTATGGTGCGGAAAAGCAATATCAATTTGTTGCAAACATTGAGACAAAAAAATTATTTACTAGACAAATAAACTATAATTATAGTGAAAC